AACAGACATGTGCTTAATCCTTAATAATAATTCTTTAGTCATATAACAATCCCTTCAATATCAAAACAAGGTTGATTTCAAGTTAACTTTAATGATTAACATTGTGACATAATAATAGGCAGGTTACTCTTAGAATAATATTTACTTTCTGGAAAATTAAACAACACAACTATTCTGTGATTGCAAGTGATATCTTACCTGTTTCTTTTTAGTTGTTTTTTATGCATGTCACATAGTGTGAATGGACCGCCGAATATGAGCATTTTTATCGTTGATACTCATTATTAACTTTGATAAATCTGATACACCATTATATTATTAATTGTGTATGACCAAACTAGGACACTTAGCGAATTTATTGTAAAAAACAAAATACTTTACAAGTGATGAGTTGACAGAATGGGCTAAATGACTAGTATCAGCATTAAGGAATTTTAGGCCAAATTACCAACATTTGAGTATGCAGTTCGTGTCCCCACAATATCTTATTCTATTGGACAGTAATACTGTTACATCGTAGGTTGACAGAAGTTTGAAAAGTAAATCATTATTTTCAATGTAGTAGATGGATGTTACTTAGTCACTCTGGATGGAACATAGCAGTCCTCTGTCAGATATCTTTTACATCTGGTTATGTATTCTCCTAATTGGAAGATCTTAACTAGATAAAAAGAAAACAGACGTAATGCACTCCTTAGTTCCTGTGCTTCTGCCACCAGTAATATATCCTCTTTGAATACCGCTTTATTTCATTACTTTTAAAAACTTTAGACTGTTACCTCGAATAATAAAAAGTTTATTGAATTTAATACATTTTTAAACAATTAATTTTAATGAACTATTGAATTACCAGATTATAAAACAATCTTTAATTACACAACCAACCTCCTTTAATATTTTATGCTGAATAAAGGTTGTAAAGCATTCGTTTTCAAAATGTTTACATCTTCAGTTGATCCCAAAAGTATCCCTGAGTTGTTTAGATGTTGGAAATAAATTTGATTCATTATCTAAGTATTTCGAAAATGTTCATTCAGACATCTATAAAAACAAAATAATGGAGCAAAGAACATTCTTTTCGATAAATTCCTCTTCCAGGCTCTACAATTATATATATGTTTTTATACACAGAATATTTTAAATTAGTAGTTATTAACAATATTAGCGTTTTTTCAAATAATATCGATTTGTAAAGTATGATCAATGCTATTGCAGTTCATTAATGATGCTTAAATTATAATAATAATAAAGATATAACAGCGGATAGAATATCAACTAAAATTAGGGAAATTTCACAAAATTCTGGATTATTCAAACCTGGATGGCCAAGGTAATGATAATGACTGGACTAACTTCTTCTGGGTGCATAAATTAGGCTTATTAATATGAATCCCCACAGCCTCCGCAATATTTAGAAGTCGAACTCTTAAAGCGAAATTGAGATTCATAGGTATGCGGTAAATGACCCTGAAAGCATGATTAACGTCAATCTCCTGTGGAGCCAGTTACATAGGCCGTACAATTAGGCGTGTTTCTCGTCGAATTTCCGAACATCACCCTGCCTGGTTAAGCAAAGGTCAAACAAAATCTATTCGCAGTGCTATTCTGGCGCATCTTGTGGAGACAGAACACAAGATTGACGTTAATCATGCTTTCAGGGTCATTTACCGCATACCTATGAATCTCAATTTCGCTTTAAGAGTTCGACTTCTAAATATTGCGGAGGCTGTGGGGATTCATATTAATAAGCCTAATTTATGCACCCAGAAGAAGTTAGTCCAGTCATTATCATTACCTTGGCCATCCAGGTTTGAATAATCCAGAATTTTGTGAAATTTCCCTAATTTTAGTTGATATTCTATCCGCTGTTATATCTTTATTATTATTATAATTTAAGCATCATTAATGAACTGCAATAGCATTGATCATACTTTACAAATCGATATTATTTGAAAAAACGCTAATATTGTTAATAACTACTAATTTAAAATATTCTGTGTATAAAAACATATATATAATTGTAGAGCCTGGAAGAGGAATTTATCGAAAAGAATATTCTTTGCTCCATTATTTTGTTTTTATCTAAGTATTTGTTTTTCAGTCACTCAATTCATTTGAACAATATCAGAAATAATCTTAAGTAAATAAATTTTTTAACTTATTTCAAGTTCATACTCAAATCCCACTTTTCTGTTTACCAATTTTGAATTGTATTGGTGAAAGTGCTTTCATTTCCTATAGCATGTGTTTAAATTTCTTTTTAATAATTCAAGATATGTACATAAAGATCAGCGGGTGTGCGACTATATCTGATGATCTTTAACAAAAAAAGATTTAGTGATATATCCTTTCTCACGCCTAAACACCACCATCAAAATCACTACAGCTTGTGTTAGCTGTATTTCAAGAGTTCACTGTTTCTTAGAATGTAAATAGTTTAGAAATTACTAAGGTCATACTTTAACAAACAAATCGTTTTGTAAATAATAATTTTCTACTTTAAATGATATCTGTTTATAATTTTTGAATGTTGGTAAATTGATAAAGGATGAATTCAACTAAGAAAAAAGTGATTTTTATACAAGCGAATATGTTAACATCATTGATATACCACTAGTAGAAATTCCCTAAATAACACCAGCTTCTATTAGGTCGTCATTCCCTTGATGTCATTTGGCCAAATAAGAGTGAAGATCCATAGCTCCAAGGGCATATAGTGGAAGTTTGACTTCTTAGTGGGGGAAACATGGAAACTGCCACCTGAGAAACAAAACGAAGCACGAATTTAAAACCTGCTGATTGATTGAAGACGTCTAACACCTCATAACTCTAAAGGAAATATCTTCCTCAAATACATTTATGTGTTGATCTATATGACGATATGAGCCATTAAATATTAAGTGTTTACCTGTCAACGCCGAATATAAAATCATTTCGACCACATAAATCTGTAACTGATGTTTTAAAAATAGTGGAATAAAGCTGTTTAAAAAAATGATTATATTAAACAAGTTTAAGGCGAATGATAACTGAGTGTTTGAAACAAGAAGTGCTGGAAAAGCCCCAAAATAACCTTTGGATAATAATTCTGCTTTCATTAAATACTATTAAGCTGTGTTCAAATGAAAAATGAAGACTTTTACACTAAATCAAATCCATAATTTCAAGAAAAGCCATTTAATCCAATTTAACAAAGTCAGAACACGAAACACTTTCATATTTATTAGTGCGGATGGCGCTAATTGGATATTTCCTATATTAGAATAAGACTTAGTGAAGCAAACCACAAGTTTACAAATTGTACGAATGTAAGGTAATGAGAATTTTAAGTAGTAGACCAAGTGCAAGAGCTTTCACTCAGTTTCAAACTGAAATCTGACTTCTGAAGGGAATTGTGCGTATCTGATCCTTTGATACCAAGCAATGGAGCTACTCTGCAATCAGTGTGGGGATCAGCAGCATTCAACACAAAGAGCAAGACCTGGAATTTCAGCATTAATGTCAAATCAGTGCTTCTTTATGGTTCAGAAACTTGGTGTGTGCGTTATGAAAAGCATTTCCAACAGGCTGCTGCAGACTTTCATAGACGTCTGTCTTCTGTCGATGCTGAAGATAAGATAGTTATCCAGAAAAGGTTAGCAGCCAGGAACCTGCCACCCAATACATATGCAAAGAAAAACGGAGATGGATTGGACGTACACTAGGAAGACCATTGAGTGACATCACTTGCCAAGCCCCTGAGTGGAACCCGAATAAGAACAGTACAGTTGGAAGTGGATCCGAGTGTGAGACGAAGGAGATAGTACGAGCAGGAAGTGGAAGCCAATGAGTAATTGTGAAGCCAGCTAAAAACGAGTGCAGAGAACAGAGTGAAATGGCGATATGCTACTGAAGCCCTACGTTTCACTTCGGACTCAATTAAGGAGTAACAATGTAGTGAAGCTGCAGAATGATGCACGATTTAAAATGAGAGACTTTGCTGAGGTTGTTATGACTTTAATTTATTACGTAACGTTTAAATCAGCTGGCTAATAAATTATAATGAATTAAAAAAAAATTGTTATCTTGATTCACCTTTATCCTTCACTCTCCATATGCTACTTATCATCATGATTATCCTAATCACAATAATGATAGTTCAAGTCAATGATCAAAGTAAAATATAAAACCAAAGGATATATAAGTAGGAGTGTTTGTTTCATGCTTGTCAAACTCTACAACAATTTATCATAATGGATATCAATTAGCTTATTTGTCTTTCGTACATTAGAAGTAGTACATGCATTACTGATCCAATTCATATCAAAATGTAATATTTTCCTGTCAAATGTGAATGAGTGCCTTGATATTATTATGAGCAATAATTTATGCCCGAAACGTCCTCAGTAAATATTACTGTATAACACTGTGTGATTTTATCAGAATAAAATTTTATCCGTGATGGAATTATACTCTACCACAGTACCCAAGTTTTATCTTTATATCAACAACAGTATAACTTCGGACTTAATGTACTCTCAGTTATGTAACTCTTTTTTTTTCTATAATGCGTTTAGTAGTCAATTATCTATAACTTGTAATTCCGTGGAGACAGAGGATTACATCATTCAAGACTGTATTCATTTCGTTTGACAATAAGCTTCAAGTCTAATAAATGATTTCTCAATTAATGATAACATTCCCTGATGTATATAACTTTGGATAATTAGAGCAACTATTTTACATTGCTATTAAATAGTATTATTTTTGTGAATAAACCTACTTTCTGACAAATAAAGCAGAACATCAAAATAGTTGAAATGTTTAAATTCTATTATACAAGACCGATTTATGTATAAAAATGGATAGATATACAAATTATGTACAAATGAACAGTAGTTAAAAAAAGTGAAAATAATAAAAAATGAGCAAAATTATTAGATAATATACACAACTATACATTTCTTTGAAATTTAATTTTTCCTCTATGAAATATATATAATTTACATTTTTCAGCATTGTCAAGCTAAAAGTGCTTCAACAGAAAATGGATTAATTCGTTTAGTAGTTGAACATTTGATATTTACTGATGAGCTGGAATAGTGAATCTTTGTGGAGATGTGCATAGTGCTTGCTGTGTACGTTACTGGTGGTTCATGATTGTCGGGCATCTCTGGTTTCATTTCAAAGTTATTGTACATTTCTTCTTCCTTGTTGATTTTCGCGTTGACCTCTTCATCTTGTATTTTGTACCTTTTGTTTGTTCTAAACACATTATTAATATGTTCTGAATAAAATGATGTATTCTGTCGATCTACTGATTCACTTGGTATATGATTTTGCTTCAATAAATTGTCAACATTATAATTATTTGATATGTTTATATTTATTAATTGGGTCTGGGGGTTTTGTTTTTCATATGCATTTCTGTGAATACTTTTATGATTACTTGTCCGAGGTCTATGCCAACGCTGGTGTGATGCTAAGTTAGCTGGACAGTTGAACACCTATATTATGTAACAGATAAAAGATTTACAATTATGCTTTGTTTATACTTTCTTAAAATTGAAAATAAAGATGATTAATATAAAGCGAACCTCATTAATGCTCTCCTTGTTGCATCCTTATTTGTGTCAACAATGTGCGCATTGCTAATAACATAATATGCAAAGCTTACGAACTATACTGACATGATGCATAAATGTTATCTATTAAATTGCCGATACAGCCTCATTACTAATCAACAGATAATCAAAGGCGAAGTTTTCGACTGTACTTGATCCAATGAAAGAAGATTACCTGAATGTGACTGAATCTGTACTCTTCGAAGCAAGAGACAACAATCTACGTCTGTTATATGAAGTCTAAAAATTACAATAATCCACCCATACGTTAGTATGAAACAGGAATGAAACGCATTATCGGTTGACTGAAAAACGGTATACATTGGTCATTCAGCCACAGTTTCACAGGTGATCGAATAATAATAATACTAATAATAATGACAATAATATACATGTGGACACTTCTATTTGTAATGTGAAATAAGCTAAGTACGATAAAAATCAATTGTGTGAGTCTATTGTGTTTCAGCAAAGTTGTACAAAAATACTTTCAAGTTATTTCAGGTGATAAATTTACTTCATCAAATAAAACTAAGCTAAGGCAAGCGATTAAGTCCTGATAGCTATAATCATAAAATGAATTAACAGGTTGTTGACAGTTGTCTGATTTTAAGCTAATCTAAGTCTTTATGCAAAAATTGTACGGTTCAGGGTGAAATTTGACCGCTATTTTTTTTGGAAACCCAGGATATTTGGCATACCACATCTGACCCCCTCAATATCATAAATGGTAACGAATAAATCAAGAAGTACAGCAAGGTGACATGTATCAAAAAACCATTTATATCACTCAGTAGTGATTGCTAGCCAGATAGAAATGTTCCAGCCACTGGATGGCAATTTTACTCATTCGGTGAGTAACCGTGAGTATATTGTAGATGAGCTTGTTGTCAGACGAACAAAGGAACCGTTCGGCCTTTAGATCACCTTAATCTGGCTAGGAAACACTACTGGTTAACATGAGTGGTTTTCAGTTATCCATATTGGTCACTAGTAAATGACATTACGTCATTCCTTTGATTTGTTCAATTGGCTCTTAATGGTAAGACAAACATTTTCTTTCAGCATATCGTATCTAATTTTTTACCATACATAAACGAGTGTAGAAAGCTTCTGATTTATCACCAAAGAATTTTAAAGTGGTAAGAGTGATAAATTCTGTTCAAAAAACGGAAAGGAAGGTGTATATAAAACAGATAACAGTTTAGAGAAATATATCATAAATAGGATTTCAAAAAGACACTTAGTTACCTTTCTAGTGCTACTTTTAGAGTACACTCAAATAATATTACTCCTCAGGACATATTTACTAGTAAAAGTCACCTGATTACGTGATGATATATATGTCATTTGCGCTATTTATGAATGTTTTGCCTTAAAGACAGTTATCCGATGATCATGAGGTGATCCACAGAAATGTTTTAATTCGTATTTATTACTGTTGATCGCAAGTGAATTCACAATGCGACCCATAGACACTACTACTACTTTGATTATAGTTTAAAATGTCAAGGAAACTGTGAAATTGGCTATGTTCAAACAACTTACTTTACCACATATTTCACATGGATAAGCTAAATTAGCCATACATGGGCATGGATGTTCAGCTAAACTGAAAGCATCTGGAAACCATTTAAAGCATAACTGACATATATATTCTCCAATACGATTTGGTATTTTGGCCAGCATTTTTGTTGCTTTCAATGAACGAATTACAGAGAATACATTCTTATTATCATTATTTTTAGATGTACAACTCTTCGTTTCACTTGATTCATTAGATATATTCAAATGAGATACTTCTGGTGGCAGAATATAAACACCACTAACTGGTGAAATTAAATGTTCACTTGATTTTAACTTTGTTTTAATTTTACTCATTTTTAAAAAGTATTTCAAATGATTTGTTGATACAGATAAATTATTTACAATATTCGTTTGCGTAATATCCATTTGGTTATCATTACTTTTAACATCTACAGGGATGCTAGATTCATTGTTTTGTAGTTTAGATATAACCCATAATGCTTTATTATATAAATCATTAGTTTCATGTCTTTTATGTTCATTATTAATATTGGATAAAACTGGATTTCCATACGATGTTATGTTTACTGTTTCATCAGATTTTGAATAGATACAGATTTCTGACATCTTTTTCTTTCTGTGATTAAATGACGGAATGAACTAATCAAACCAGAGGGAAGAATACTCTTATACTCATATAGACGAGTTGAAAAATTCAAGTCATGTTTGGAGGGGAGGGGGGAGAGAAATGAAATTTACTTCGATTGGACGACTTATTAGTTATTTGTTTACTGTGTTTATAACTCTTCATTCATCTAATTTTCATACTTCTTCTACATGGCTAAATAAGAGGATGAATAAATGATTCATTAAAGAAAAAAATATACTGAAATCCGATAGGTGATTGGATAAAATAGTGATAAAATGCGAGGTTCCGATAATTTTATTTCTACTTTTCAATGCGTAAATAGACTTGTTGAGGCAAAGGGTGAGGGCAGAGATAATAAAGACTAAAGGGGTAGACCGTTATAGTTGTTGATGTTAAATATTTATGACATGTGCTTTCCTCTTCCTTGTCTGCTGATTAATGTGATATAAACCTCAAGGGAATCAAAATTGTTTAAGGACAGAAGAAATTATAAAAATGGTTGACTTGAATTTTAAATAACTTTGGAATGATATTCTGATGACTGCAGTTTACCAGAAAGTACTGTTAGGTAAATAGTTTGGTCAACTGAAAAGTTTAATGAAAAAAGACTCAAAAAGCATTAGTTCTCATTTCCAGCACAATACTGATAGACTAAGTAACTGTTATAGTGAATACTTTTCGATTCTTGATTAACAAACCAAAGTGAACTGCTGTTTTCAGTCATTAATATCAACTGAGACACCTGAGTTGAGCATTTCATTTAGTTATTGGGGAAAATTAATTGAAAGCCTCATGCTTATCGGTGAAAATCTAATAATCGCCAAGTAACCTTTCGTATTATTCTTGGCTGATGATTCCCTATCTATTTTATAGTGTATATTCAAATGATCTTCGTCATACAGTTCTGTTTTCGGAAATCATATCACTGGAAGTTCATGTACATATTATAGTTTCTCGTAAGATACTTCCACTCTGTCAAACTATTAGCCAATACCATAGAGAGGTGCATAAATGTCACTCCACAATAGTCTTATCGATGAAATTATTAGTAATACAAGAGTTTTAGAAATCAGAAAAATATGCAATTTTGTTCTCCTTATTCTTTCAAAAGTAGATGATAATAAGTATACTGTAAAGTGTATATATATCGAAAAAGTGACTGTAGCTGATATCAGGAAAGATATTACGAAGCCAACTAAAAACCTAACAGCTCTATTAATAGAGTCCTGCTAAACAATCCAGTAATTATGGGTCTCAATAAAAAACGCAACTGTCAATCGCAACACACTTTGGCATACATGAAAGCAAGAATATGTTGTGTGAAACTTATAATTATTTGGGTTCACTTCATACCTTCAATCTATATACCACTAATGACCACCTTCAGCAGAGAATAATCCCCTTGAATCGATAGATTGCAAATATACATGCATACGAATTTTATTTTTGCATCAAATGGAGTCTTCTAGGAATTAAAATGAGGTATCCGGTACCTACACTTTATGTAGTGACACATTCTGGACGGAAGTTGTTCGTACACGTAACCTTAAAAGACTAGCTCATTCGTCAAAGGAATGTTTCTAGGTGGGATTATTTATTAGGAATTACAGTACTAGTAACTACTGGTATATTTTGATATTTTCTGTTACTAACAGTATCAAATAAGAGGTATAGTAGGATTTAGTGAAATATTTACTGTGTCTTAATTTATCTTTGATGTAGGAAAGATTTATATGATTTCTTTTATGTGCATCATTTGTTCGCTGTCATTGCTAGGTCAGTAGAAAATAATTCACACAAATTCATATAAGTACAATTGTCATGTATTTGCTTAGCAGAGGTAGATAATATTTCGTACAGGTTGGGAACCGAAATCAGATTACCACCTGATTTTTCTTTGAATCAACATAGTAGGGTAGGTATCCTATGCTAAGGTTGATTCAGTTGATTAAAAAGAATCTCTAAATATCAGGTGAAATTTAGAATATATACTCATCTTTGATATAAGTATAAAGTATCAAGTCACTTGATATGATTATGAGCAATAGTTTGTGCTCGAAACGTCATCAGTTAATATTACTGTATAACACTGTGTGATTTATCAAAATAAAATCTTATCTGTAATGGAGTTATACTCATCCGATTTATCATTTGTCAGATTGATGTATGTGATTATTAATTTACTCATATTTCTACTCAGTTGTATATAAGAAAATTATTACCTGCAGTGGCATAAGTTCCTAATCTAAAATTCACTTTCTCATCATGACACTACTGATTGGGTTAAGTGAAGCTTTAATAATATCTATCATAGTATAAGGCGAAAAGTAAAGAAAACAATGCTTAATTAACTTCCATGAGTGCGTTTACGACTAAAAAAAGATTATAAGTTAATGAGTATGTTTAAGCTTCACAATGATGTTATTTACGCCCCAGATTAAACTACCTCACCTTATAGATAATTTAGAAATATTTGCCGACCTGCCAGTTGATAATCTGGAGACAACAGGCCTCAATGTCAAAGAGATTGAACATCCTGAAATCTATAAAATCAGGACACTTTTTCACAATGTCTTAATTTTGATGTCACCATAGATCAATACCATCAATCGAAAAGTAAATCTTAAAGTTAACTTAAAATGGTTTACAATTGAGTAGCGATTAAATTTATTTTACAAAAACTGAATGTGTCTTTTAATCAGTCTTAAACATTGTGACCAAATATCTCAATGTATCAATTTCAAGTGTCCATATTAGTAAGTATTAGTATTAAGTTAGAGTTCCTTAAACAGTTAGAACTAGGGGTCACTGGTTTCACAGAGCAGTTGGTAAAGTTGAATATTTCTATTTCTAAACACCATTCTTGCAACCTGATTAGATTTATTTTTTGTTATCCTCTGTTGTAAGACATCGCGTTTGTAATCTGAATATGTCTGTTTAGAGCAGAATCTAACAGTTATGAATCAGGGGATAATGTATAAAATCCTATAAATGGGAGATTGTGGTGTGAATAAAAGCCAGAGAGGAGGAGAAACAAAATGCTATTAGTAAAGTATAGAGCTGATATGTAGTAAGAAGGGAAATTTAGTGTCCTTTGGAAGCATCATTTATCACTAATGGTGTAAATGTCTACTACATATATCTGTCACCACTTTTGTTTGTTTAGACATGTTACTGACACTTGTCTGAAATTCGAGATTCAATCAGATCGGTTAGAAAAAAAGGGAACAGATGATTATACTAGTTGTGAGTCTATATTTATTTATTTCGACGTCCACCACCATCGTTATCATTGTCTCATCTTTTACAAACCCTTAATTATTTTTCGGAGTTTGGTTTCATACTAATTTTCTCACCTCTATATTTGTATATTGGTGTGTGTGTGTGTGTTTGTGTTCGTGCTTTGTGTGTGGATTTGTGTCATCAACTGAGAGGAAGAAAATTCAGGGACATACAGTTTTTCGTCGATAAAAGCATTTATGGTCTGAAAATTTATAAAAATATCGTTTGTTGTCTGTATGTCATGTATGATTAAGTAAATATTGATGTTCGCGTGACTGAATTATTTTCAAGGGTTAACCTGTAGGGATTTGATTGATTTCAAAATCGATCACGAACTGACTTCAGTTAGAGAACCACTGGAAACCAGGGAGTACTAATAAGTTATTTTTACTTGTTTGGGGCTCTTCGGTAGTACACAACCATGCCTCCACCAGGGATCAAACCCAGGACCTCCAGGTTACAAAGCCATGTCGTTGACCAATGACTGGGATGGAATCCAGGGGCTCATCAATTCTAACTCCCGTCAGTTCGCTAATTATATCCATTATTTGTATGCCTCTGATTCTAATGCAGTTAGTTTTGCAGACAAAACATAGCAAGATACACACTGTCTTCCCTTTATTCCTCTTGTGGGACAAAAGTTTATGCTAGCAAGCTGAATTACGGGGATATTTCATGCAAGTGAAATAACTTCATTACTGAGTCACAATCATAGTACAGTTCAAATCCACTTCAGCAAAGTAGTAATCCAGCTAACATTAAGAAGTGTAATAAATGATGGTGGGACTATCTGAGGTATCCTTGGGTAATATGATTGAAAGTGAAGTGAAAACAGATGCGTCTGAATTACTAGTCTGACGCCTGTGGTATGATTAATCATTTAAACGAAGTTTTTAGGAGACACTAAAGATATGTAGCCCTATAAGAATGTTACAGTGATAATATATCTAAAGAAAATATCATTAATGATTTAATATTTCTTTCTTTTGTAATCCATTCCTGATTTTAAGTCACCCAATCCTTGATTTTACTAGACACCGTTTCCATGATGTCGACATAATTGGTGAACTCATTCGTTCGATGGTTAGATCATTTTTATTTTTATTCTCTCTGCTTAACATCCCGGAATTTTATCCATCTAACGTGTGAACAGACACACTTGGTAACTCTCAAAATCCCTTGTATTTCAGTATGTGGGTGTAATACTGTTTTTCAGTGTGTCTCCTTTCAGTGAACGCTGTCCTGTAAACTTGATGGGATATAGAATGAATACTTTCTTGAGTTGAATATTAAAATCTATTTGATACATGAACCTTACCTTCATTCAGAATGCACATTTTTAAAAATCTCGGATACTAGATTCTACAGTATTTGATTAATAGGGACAGGCAGAACTTATAGTAATGCAAAACTGTTCTCAGTTAGAGGAAAATTTCCAGCAAAATAGAGAATAACAAGTTGAAAATAGATAACTGTTACACTTAGAAAACTACTGTTTATTGACTAAATCTATCTGAATTTTGATTACATTTTTGTTGCCTTTCTGATTTACCTTGATTTCCAGCTTATAGAACACAAAATCAGTGTTAGCGAATTTTTTTCTCTATTTCCTGAGTTCTGAATTCAACGTGGGGCTTCAAGCTTTGAAGTTTGAGCAGCGATTGGGTTGTTTCTTTTACCGTTTGGGAATGTTAGC